AGTATGTAGTTTATTAGTGGATAGAGGTTCTCTTTTAGATTGTTTTGAGGTTTAAAAGGTAATGATTTAACAGTAAAGCCTTATTTTATTCCTTCTTCTGCCTAATCTTTACCAGCCTTCAGCAGGACATTTCTTGTGTTGCTTGTAGAGGTTGGAAAAGTGGATCTGATTACATAAATGAGTGATTACTTCAAAGATTGCCCGTTGTAACATTTAATAGTTATGTAAGAGACAGTAGTCACGTCAGCTATCATTTCAAGATATTTTAAATGTGTGCATATTGCAAAATCATAAACACATTTTTTTCAGCAATTGCATTTATATAGCTATATAAAACAAAGATCTTTTCTATGATCCCTTAAAATGAAGCTAAAGGAAGACCTTATATCTTTCCTTAGGAAATAGCACCCTTTGGCAGGTATTTGATACATTCAGTGTTTGAGCTCTCTCACATTCCTGCATTTATGAAAGAACTTTATAAACTTAAAATCAGTAAACTTTAGAAAACATATATCAGTTTCCCCACCATTTTTATACACTTGGATTTTTTTTAATGATTTGGTTCAGCTAAAGCATTTTTCTTTTTCTAACATTCCGAGAGAACTGTAAATGCCATGTTACAGACTTACATGTAAGATAAATTGTTATGTTGCAGTGCTTTTTTCATGATGATAGTGTGCATTATGTCACTGCACTTTTTCATCAGATCTTATGCCCACTGCTATGTTTATGGACTAGAGTACTCAATAATCATTAGTAAAAAGTATGTAAGTTCCTTTTCTTGTTGCTGAGACAAAATACTCAAAACCCAAAGTGAAAGTAGTGAAAGTTTACTTGGCCCACAGTTTGTAGAGGTTGGGTACAACTTCTCTAGTTGGCTGGCTCCAAGGCATGGCTCCAGGCATAGCAGAGAGACATTGCAGAGGCAAAATAATTCATGGCAAACAGATAACCACAAGGCAGCAAGCGACAAACAGCAATCCTCTTTCTGTCCCTTATATTTTATCAAGCCTACCCAATCTTAGGGTAAGTAGTACTCACACCCAGGGTCGAATGCCTTTAGTCTTACCCAGAACTATGCCAAACCAGTCAGTGGACTGATTTGCTAATCATACACTCTGATTCTAGCATTGCACACTCCAGATCTAGCATCCTCCAAAAAGCCCATCTATGACTGCACAATGCTTTGGGGGACATCTGAACACAAAGCATAATGGCATATTAATTCATAATGACTTTTAGACAATATGAAATTTTTTTGCATAAAGATATATGACTCTTGGTAATGGATATCTTAGCACAAGGGTTAACAAACTTTTCTGCATGTGTGCTTGTGTGTGTGTGTGTGTGTGTGTGTGTGTGTGTGTGTGTGTGTCTGTGCACACACTAGGGTCTAAACTCAGGGACTTGCACCTGCTAGCAAACACTCCAGCACTGAGTCACATTCTTAGCCCAAACGTTTTCTTATAAGAATCAGATGGTAGTAAGCAGTTTAGACTTTGTAGGTCACTTCCACTGTTACAACTACTTGACACTGCTTTTGGAGCACATAGCAGCCATAGACACAAATGAATGTGACTGTGTTTCAATGAAACCTTATTTAAAGACACTGAAACTATGGATTCTGTGCAGTTTTCATGTATTGTGAAAATTGTGCTTTAGATTTCTTTTTTCAGTTATTTAAATATATAAAAACAAGCGGTGGACTGAATTTGGTTTGCAAGCTAAATTTTGCTGAGTCCCGCAATAGATGTTGATTGTTCTAAATTAACTTCCTACTCTAAATTAAAACTGAAGATTTATTGCTTAAAACCTCTTAGAAATATGACTCATAGTGAATTATTTTAATAAATAAAGTAATTTCTTCTTTCCTAGAAAAAAATCCACAAGTATAATAAAGTACCTTATTTTAACTATACAGAAGCAATTGAAAGAATTTAAAAATCACTTATTTCTTTGACTACATAAGGAATTTTGGTATTGATATGCTAAATTTTCTAATAAAGGTCAGAATTTTACTACAATGAATATTTTTAATAGCAGAAGTATTTGGATGTTAGAAAAATAAATGTCCCATGTATATATTCTGCCCTTGACAACCTCCCAGTTTAACAAGGAATATAAAATTAATACAAATTTTGGGAGAAATGGGCCAAATAAGACTGAAAAGTAGTGAAAAAGAGAATGCGGGAAAGAGTAACAGGGACAGAAGTTCAGAAACAGAATGGAAAGCATTGAAACAATATTAGAGATACACATATATGGAATCAGTGCAAGAGAACAGAGGGGTATGATCAGAGGCCTGCAGTAAAATGTCGCTGTTTCCACACCCACAACAACTTAGTGCTGGGCTTTTCACAAGGATAGGTCCCACTGCCCCTAGTATTTGGATGATAAAAGGCAGGCTAGGGGAAGCTGGGAAGTTGGCAGATCAATAAGCAGCAAAGTAAAGAACCTCTCTAAGGGAAACAACTCAGATGCTGGAACATAGCATCCTAAAGAAGACCAGATGGAAAGAGATGGATCCTCTCGACCCAGGAAGAAACTAAAGTGAAAAAAAGAAAAGAAAAACATGGACGGAAGGCTGTAGCCAGACACACTCTCACCAGAGCCGGTCTCACTGTGTACAATGCCCCTGGAATCCAAAGACACACGGTCATGGTGAAGTCGGGGGTTGGCGAGCCCAGTGGTAGGAGGATGTGATCACAGAGAGGAGCAGTGGACCGGTGATCTGTACCAGCTCGCAGGGAGTATGGGGAACTCAGTCCTCCCAGGAGAGTGAGTGATTATCCGGGCGACATTTTGGAGTCAGGCAGGATAAGCCTGGAAGCAGAACTACAGCGACTTCACTCAGCCACTCCTAGTGCAGACAGATTGGTGAGAATTGCTTGGACTGAGTCCCACCCCTGTACACCATCCAATAGCCAAGGATGAGATTTCCCTGAAGCTATCCGTAACCTGCCAGTCCACCACTAAAGGGATAAAGACTCCCAGTGGTTGGCAAGTTCAGAAGGAAGGGACCAGTATGCCCTGCTCCTGCTTGTACTTCAGAGGTTACCAGCAGTCTGGCGATGGCAGCAATCCTTAGCCAGCACACTTCAGAGTAATCTTAACCATACAGGAAGTGCTGGGGACCCCCATATCCACTTGTCTGGAAGAAGCCAGAAACATGACAAGAGGAAGAAACAAAAGGAAGTCTCCAGCCTCTAGCCCAAATAGTACTCACACCCAGGGTAAGTAGTAGGCCCAGGAGAAGTAAACACTGAAGAGATGGGGGGGTTGTACACCTGCAGTTTCTGGAGAAGCAGCATCTGACATAAAGAAATATCTTCATGACATTATAAAAGAACTCAAAACAGAAATACTAATACAAGTAAAGGAAGATATAAGAAAAATAATAAAAGAAATGCTAAGCACCTCTTAAGAAGACAGAAATCAAAGAATGGAGGAGCATAGAAAAAGGAGGGAAACCTTTGATGAAGAATGTTTAAAAAAATCTAGAATACATGAAAGAGATTCAAAGAGATTACCAGGAAATTAAAAACTCCATTGAAACCTGGCAAAAATGCTTGAAAGAAACTAAAGATAGACTATCAAACCTTGAAGACAGGTTTGCAACAGGCGAGTAAAGCTGATCTGAAGAAAAGGTGGCTGGTAAATGGTTAGAGCTCAGACTTCTACAACTACTTCAACCAGATTTTGGTTCCCAGTCTGCTACTAAATTATATGCATAGGCAAGTTACTTAATCTGTCTGAGCCTTAGTTTCCCAATCTGTAAAGTGGAGTCTATAATTCTTATTTTGTGACGTAAAATTAAGGTCTCGCCAATTCCTTTCCTGGTTTTGTGTTCTTTGCATTCTTCTAAATGACTGCTCAGTAGAGCATGGATGGTTTTTACAGCCAGAGATGGGGTCAGATCTACTCAAATCCCACCATTACAATTTATTGTATAAACTTGGAGAAGTTATGTAATTCCCCAATAAAATAAGCATACTTCAAATTTTGTAAAGAAAATTTAGTCAAATACAATAATAAAACTGTGATTTTTATGCCCTCTAAAGACCATGTTATCTACAGTGTTCTTTATTATATTCTGATATGTCAAGCAGATATTACTGATCTTTGCTTGAGTCTTTTATGTTTATTTTGTGCCAGGCTAGATAAGTGTGTGTGTGTGTGTGTGTGTGTGTGTGTGTGTGTGGTTTAGTGTACTGTAATACCATTAGAATTCTCATTTTTCAGATTAGAAATCTCATGCTTAAAAAATTAAATAACTTGCCCTAGGTGACAGAGTTAGTAAGTGATGTGTTTGGAATTTGAACCCAGAAAATATGGCTCTAGAACGTGTTCTCCTAAGCACTGTGTTCTACTGTTTCTTCCATGTAGTTCTGACACCTCCCCGCTCCCTTCTCTTTTCTCTGAAGCATCTAGCACAGTGCCCAGTACAACAGACACTAATACATGTGCTGCTCTCTATCTCAGCACCTACCTCCCAACTGTTAGACTAAAACTTGATGATGCTTCAGCCATAGGAGGTAGCTGCTTGCTGGAAAAGAGAAATACTATAATAAAAACTTTTCTGTGTCCCTTCTTGCTAAATTGAATAATAAGTAATTCAAGTTTCCAAAATAATACAATTTTTTATTACCTTGAAGTTTACTATAGTGTGATTTGGCTTTATACAATAAATACACTAAATTGAATCAAATGATTGTGAGTTGTGATTTTAAAGATATGAAACTGCTTCCTGCTTGTCTTTCCTCCACTGCTGTATTTTTTCATATCACAAATCACCACATGATAGGGTAAGTTTCTGTGCTGATCTTCTGAGCCCCTTCAGCAGAGGAAGGACCTTGAGCTGTTCAATCCCTTCTGCATCTCCAGTGTGCAAAATAATATGTTGTAGTAGGTGCTCAAAAATATTTTATGCATAAATGAATAAAATGTTTTCATAAACTTCAGAGAACTGACACTTAAATATTATTTATTTTTCTTTCCAGCTTGGATTAGAAGAAAAAGAAATACTCCACCTACTATGGAGGTATGAATACACAAAGAAAGCATTCAAGTAACCTATGTTTATAATACTGTACTTCTCACTTGAGAGTTTGTATTCCAATTTGTATATAAAGCCTCAAGGAGGCTTTCGTTCATCTACACAAAGTGTTAATTTTAGTTCATAGGAAATAATTGTAAGTATTTAGTAATAATCTATTGCTATAGTATACTAATATATTGATAAAATACTGTAAGATAAAGTAAGTCATGATTTTGTGGAATATAACAAAATTTCTATAAATTATTAAGTAAAATAGTAAAAAGTTTAAAAGTATATTTTTTAGAAAATCTGGACTTAACATCACTTTCGGCTTTTAGCCAGGATTTCTTTTTACTGTTACCAACATTTTGGTTCAAAAGTTTGAGAAACACTGAATCTCAGTCTTATCCAAACATGTCCTTAGATTGCTCTTAGTTTTATATATTTAACTCTAGAAAATATGTAAAGAAACTAAAATGCACAATTAGCAAGAAACATGTAGTGGTCAGTATTTAATAGTTAAGTTTAATTTTCATTTAAAGCTTTAAAAATGTTGCTTTGGTGATAGAATAAAATGATATGTGATTGTTTCATAATTTTTAGTTTAAAGCAATATCATAAAGAGTTCTAAAGTTATTTGGTAGGAAATGAATGTGTTTCATAAAATGAGTTCCCTAGTTTACTAGTATACTGCGTTTGTACTTTCTACTTACAGACATTCCTGTCTTTCTGTCATCTGGGACTCCCCTCCCCTGTCTCTTCACAATGCTAAACCCTGGTGACGACATAAATGGTTCCTAGCACTCAGCCTCCCTGTTGAGAGTGATGCCCACGATTTTTACTTTTTCCTTTCCTCTTACACTAATTTCAGAAGTATTCATTTGGGCAAAGTCTGAGTGAAAACATCTTTAGTCCCATTTCTAGCTTTGTAAGTTGCTTCTACATTTGCGTCCTTTTCTGAGACCCTTCTTTTCATCATCCATAATCTTTAGAATAATTTTTTAAATGCAATCTGAGAATCAGAAATAGCTGTTAAGAGTTTACAGCAGTCTTGTGGATGGAGGAGACCTTCTAATTCCCCTTTCTCTTGGCCATAATAAAAGTTACTGTTCTCAGAGGGAGAGGTACTTTCCCCTATCCCAGAATTTTGAAACCTTCTTCCATCAGGCCTCAGGCACTACTCCTGAAAATTTTAGGTAATTCTTGTACCTCAAAGAAGCGCCAATCAGAGCAAAGGGACCAAGTCATTCCTCATCCCTGACACTCAATTCTTATCATCCTTGATTGTCCAAAAGGAGACATCTCATGTTGCCTTTTTTTTTGTACAACTATTAATCACAGTGGTTTTTTTTTCTTCTCTCTGCTCTCCCTAGTCCACACACACACATACATATGCTCGCTCACACACTTCGCTTTCCTCCTGATTCTTTATTAGAAATCAGCAATTTGTATTTCTTTGTTAGCAAATTACCATTCATCACTGATGTTTTCTTAGAAACTTTTCTTGGTATTGTTATAGTTTATATCTAGACGTGTCCCCAAGGCCTCATATACTAATAGATGGGGATTTAGAGAAATGACTGGGTTCTGGGGACGATGTTAGGAGGTGAAGCCTGCTGGGAAGAGGTTGGTCACTGTGGAGGTGGCCTGGGATGGTCTATAGACCCTCGGTTCTTCCCTGATCCTTTCTACTTCCTGCCTGCCATGCCATCGATTGTTTTTCCTCTACTATGCCATGCTGCCTTGGAACCAACCAACTATAGACTGAAACCATTTGAAATCTATGAACCCAAAATAAATCGCTCTTCCTTTAACTTGTGATTGTCTCCTCTTTAACTTGCATTTTGTGCCAGCAATGGGAAAGTAATTAAGACAGTTCTCAACTGTAGTCTCCTGTGGCTGAAAGATAGTGACTCCTTTCTTCGGAGTGAGTTGTGCTTACTTGCCAACTCTCCACTGAATGTAGACTCAACTTCTTTTTTTCCCCACGCGGTACCAAAATATTCTCCTAGAATATTTTGTGAGCCTAGAAAATTGGAGGAGCTTTGTAATTAAATGTATTTATTTATATCTGGTCAACATCTTTATCTTTGATAATACCCAGGCCACTCTCACACACTGATGGTAGAGATTAGAACCTGGCTAACAAGTCTTCTCCCTTCAGGGTCTTCCCGAATCTCAGCTGCTCAGTTCTTCATCCGAACTAGCATCCCTGCCTCAAGTGAACTGCTACTTCTATTAAAACACCACCTTACTTCTTACCATCACCAACACTGTTCTACTGCTGTCACTGTTAAATTCTCCAGTCTCCGATTCTAGATACACCATATTAAAAAAGAACAAACCATTTCAAAAATGTATACAAATAACAGAAAAATAAAATGAAACATTTAATGAATTATTATGAGGCAAGTTCTTCTCAGTTGCTGGCCCCATAGCTATTCTTTTGTTTTACTCTTTCATACCTTTTCTCTAACCTATAATGTGTCAATCTTGTAGATTAGCATTCAGCGAAGAATCTTATTTCTGAATTCCTGAGGCTCATTTCAATGTTGTCTCCAAGTAAGTGACATTGAGTTCTCTGTGCTCGGTATTATTAGGCTTGTTTTAGAAGTTACATAATTGAAATGTCTTGAGACTGACAGTCTGAATATATAATCTTACTTTTCTACTGACTTAAATTGCAAGGATGGAATGTAGGTTCTTCTCGAAAAATAGATCCCCTATTTCCACCTCAAACCTTAGCATATTATTTTTAGGAACATAGTAGAAACTGATTTTTAAAAATTGCAGCATAGGATATAACATCACTATATGTAACAATGAGCTATAACATCATTTCTTTTAAAATGAATGAATTAGAGTTTTGTATACCAACATGGATAAATTTCAGAAACATGATATTGAGCAAAAAGAGAAAATTCCAAAAGATTTCATATAGTGCATCATTTCTATAAAATTTGAAAGCAGGATAAGAATAGTGGGCATTCAGGTAAAGATGGAAGATAGAACACATGAGTTCACTTTCTCGAGTCTAATGAAAATAACAATGTATTTTTAAAGACGGAAATCTGTAAAGTCAAAGGAAATTGAGGCAAAGCCCAACCATGTTTGAAAGATGGACAAATGGTAAGAACCTTAGCAAAAGTGAGTACAATGAATCTTAGTCTGTAATAGAGAAGTCCAAAAGTAACCCAATTTGAAACAGAGCCCCAAAATGTTCACTAACTGGTAGTCCAGGACACTTTGAAGGAGTTGAGCTGATGTTATAAACCATGACCTGGTTGAAAATTTTTTTAAGAGCAGTTAGATATCAATGAATAAATATGAAATAATGGATTGGAAAATCAACATCTTTTTTAACTGCCAAAGTTATAATTGATTCCAGGGAAAAAATCATTGATATGTACTCAAACCATTAGTTTCATGTTCTTTTGGGTAACAAACTAGGTATCCAGGTGTCCAGGTATCTCCTTATGGATTACTTATTAGTTACAAAATTAGTTACAAAGGGGGAAAAGAAAAAGAAAATCTAGCGCCATCACCTGAACCAGATGATCAAAAGTTTTACTAAGTATAACAAACCTTTATATGTGCCTCTTTGTTTGAGGAACTGAGAATTTTATACAGTATTCTTCCAAAAAATGCAAATCCTTATAGAATCGTGAGAAAACAACCAGAAAATCTAATTTGTAAGACTTTTTCATAAAATACAAGACTAGTTATGTCAGTATCATGAACAACTAAGACTAATAAGCATGATAACTAAATGTAATATGTGATTCCAAAATGGGGCAAAAAACTTTGGTATAAGAGACATCTTGAGATTTGAAGAAAAATAATGTATTAAATGATGAAATTTAAAGAAAATAGTATATTAAATGAAAGCCTTCTGTCAGTGTTAAATCTGATTTAAAAAAAGAAAAAGACGCTGTTAAATTTCCTTTGTGATAGTGTACAACCAGGCAATTTCTTCTCTATCCAGTTGAAAACTGGATGTTTATACTTGGGAAAGAGAAAACAGTTCAGACTTTTCCAGACAAATTTAAGGGAAGAAGTACCATTTGAAAAATAGAGGGATTAAATGAACACATGCATACTGAAAATAAGACCTCCAGATTTATTTTATCCCTACTAGGATCCAGGAACAAAGAAAAATAGTCCTTTATGCTCCAGGCAGGATATGAGATGATATTTCTCTAGGGATTCTGACCAGCCAAAAAGAGGGACATAAAGTCCCAATTAGATTACTGTTCAGTGAAACTGAGTTGACAAGTCTCATCTGTGGCACCAGAGCTGCCAGATTTATCTAGCAATATCCAAGATTGGAGGAGAGTATAAAAACAGAGAGCTACATGCACAAACAAGCAAAGGCAGCTCAGATAAAACTACTTAAAGACTTAAGATAACTGCTATTTTCAGAGAATAAGAGAAGATGTTGCAATCATGAAACAAGAACATAAGACTACATAAGAGAAGAAAATTCAACAAATAAAAAGCTTTTGGAAAACGACATATAATAGAAATGAAATATTTACCTGAAGTGTTAGGCTTTGTACTGAAGCAATTTCTTATAAAGTAGTGCAAAAAATAGATGAAAAACAGGAAAGAAAATTAGAGGACCAGCAACACTGGAAGCTAAATACTCAATTCCTTCAATATTTGGATGAGTAGTAAGTGCCAGCCTAGAATTCTATACACATTGGTATCCTCCAAATTTGAATGTGGAATAAACTCTTTTAGACAAACAAATTCCTGTAGATTTATCCCCTAAAAACTTTTAGGAAGTTACTAAAGCAAAGAAAAAGGGAGGAGTAAGATCAAGAAAAAATTACAGCGTAGGCTAAGTGTACTAGAATATGAAAGTAACCAGATCCATGTAAGGAGGATCCATGAACAGTTTTTTTTCCAAAATTATGAGATAGTACTCTAATACATCAGAATATATCAAGTGGACTTGTTAAGTAAGCACATGGAAAACAAAATTCATTCATTAACTCAAA